ATCAGGCAAGTGGAAATTCGCTTAGTCTGCAGGTTTGCTGTGTCGGGGGTATTTTTAATTTTAATTGGCACTTTATGATACATTAATTGGAGTATATACGAATGTTACTATCGTTTAAGCAATGTAATACAAGTTTACAGCTCAACATTTCAAATTTTGATTACATATTAAAAATTTGAACTCACATATATTTTCCCCTTAGTAATTATGAAACATAATTTTGCAAACATCAGTAGCAAAAAAGTTTTCTAAACATATACATCTTATAACAAAACTAATTTAATGGTATATCAACACTGATTGCAAGTCCTCTTCTCGATTTAAAGTGATTCTGATATTTTGATTATACTTTCATTATATTTTGACTCTATTCCAGTGATATGAAACTAGCCTAGGCTGTTTCTGAATTAAGGTACTTTTTGGCATAACCTTTAGAATAGTATCATTTACATATTTGTAATTACTAACAAAAAATTATTTCGATAAGTTTAAGGGATTAATCCCCTAAAAGATATTATTATGTTTATTCTTATTTAATAATCTGTTTCTAATTTTCAAATTATTAATTAAATCGGGGCCAAACCTAAAGCAATGCGATTCATTTTTAATACATTTAGAAATTATTCTATTTTTAACAAATGTGTTGCTTAACAATTACCATAGGGTGTAAGGTAAGTTTACTGATGTTGATAAGTATAACTACCATTTAATGCAACAGAAAAAATGTATGCTTTACGCATTATCGTTGGTTATGAATTAAGTATAAAAGAATCATTTTTTAAAGTCAATCTTTGCTCGCATTATTTAGTTGTCTTAGAAGTTCATACACATCTAAATCTACTGATTGATATTCCAGCACAGCATCTGCAATTTTCTTCTGTGGAAAAGCTGTTGTCCAAGCGACAATAATAATGAACGAGCGGCCGACCCTCAGAACAATGGACTGGGGAGGACGGGCAGCAGGTAGGCTGCCGAGCAGCCCAGCCCTACTAGGGGTAGCGTTTCAGGGGGGGACGATTCCGGGGTGTACATAGGGGATGCCTTACCGGGGAAGACCTTTCCGTTTCTACTTGTTTGAATTAAATTAATAACATAATTAGTTCATATCAACTAGATTTTGATAAATTACTTGTCAAGCCCTTGGGGGGGAACGATTCCGGTCGCGGACATAGATTTTATACCAGCTGGTTGTCTGGTTTCGTGACGTCACGTTTAGCCTGGGGGTGATGTTTCCGGGGGCGACCATTCCGGCGACCCGCCAGTAGAATAGCCGGGACTGGCGAGTCTTCCCCATGCCTTCCTGTGTACCCCAACTGTCGCCGGCTTCGGTGGCCAGCTCGTGTTTCCCTGGCTTTAAGTACTATGAGCGAGCACCAAGCTCTAATATTTAATTAAGCTAATTTTAATGGGTATTTCTCAGGTCTATAATGTAGTGTATTTATTGAAAAAAATAATATTGTCTGAGCTCTCATGTTTTGATGAAAAAGAACAGTTGATGATAAATGATACACGTTGTGAACTAATGCTGAGGTACAAGCCCAAACCATCCTGACAAATATATTTTTACCACTACAGTAGCCTCAGCATACCACAGGGTATAAAATACTTTCCTAAATTTCGACTCCATGAATTTTCACAAATACTTGTAATAATTAAATCTGCACTGTTGCTCTCTTATAAAAACTAATAATGTTACAGTTGTAATAGTGATGGAAACAACCGATTGAAAACAACCGATTGTTGGTAAAAAACCGACTCAATCGGTTGTAGTTTTTGCAATCGGTTGAATTTTTAAACGACTGATTCGACTAAATTCAGTTTTAAGACTGAAATCAGTTGAACGTAGACTGGAAAAAGAACAATAGTAGTTTATTTTATACGATTGAAAACAGTTTGAACTGGAAACAGTTTTGGTAAAAGTTATAGACTGAACAAGTCTTTATAAGCATTTCGGTTGTTTCTAAAATGTTTCCATTGTATATGTAAACAGAAGCTTTCCTGTCTTGACAGGAATGCTCACTTCCGGTGGTCTTCTTAAACGCAAATCAAAAGTTTGTTGACAAGTAAAACGTATCATACAAAACATGTAACCTTTAAACCAATAATGTTACACATTTTTTTATGTTAAACAATTCTCTCTAAAATTTGTTTCATTTATTAGGAAAGCAAAGCCATTACATTTACCTAATTGTATTTGTTTGAATTTAAGTAATTTTATTTGGACAAGCATATTTTATTTGCATAAAATAAAACATTTCTATAGTTTAATATGGTATTATTTCAAACCATTAAGTATACAGATATAATTTTAACAAAATTTATGAACTTGTGCACAGCATTTTGTCACTGCATAGTTTTTTTTTAATACCAATAACTGATTTAACAATACAATATTTGACAAAGAACATCACCAATAATTTTATTAATGCCAATGATAAAAAATAACCATTTATAAAAGTCATTTAATGAATTATAAGAACCGAAAGTTTATATTTGTTGGAAGACGCAAACGAATGTTTGAATCAGAGGTTATTAGAGCCTAAAACATTCATTTAGTCTAAGCCTTCTTTCACACCAGCGCGGTGCGGGACCGTCCCGCACAGGACGAAGCTGTTTAGACTATTGATTCATATGGGAGCTTTCACACCAGTGCGGGTTGACCCGGACAGACCTAAACCTCCGTCCGGGTTGAAAAATCACCCGCACGAACCTAAACTTCCAATGCGGGTCGAATCCGCAAGAATAGTTTTTAGATCATGGGTTCTTATGTACGCTTTCACACTTGCGCGGGACGGGCTGGTTTTGCCCGCACATAAATCAGTAGTTTTGGCTGTCTATGCATATCAGTGGTTGAGTGTGGTTGATTTTGTTGTACTCTTGTTAATAGGCAAGTTTGCTGTTCTTGGTATTGAGGTTGAAATTTATATAGAGATTATTAGTTTGGTCAAGCTTTATATTTTGGTTTAGTTTGAAGGCCAGCGTGTATGACGAGATCATGTTTGAAGTGCGAGATTCATCCCACAGCTGTCACCATAACTTTTAAAAACACAAGGAATTGACATTTTTAGACACACGGCATCAATCCAATTAGGTTATTTAGCAAGGGGGCACTGTATTTTATTTTCGGATACAACAAGTAGCATAACCACCTTACTTTTATTTATTTGAATGAAATGCATCCAAAAATCACAAAGTTTCAGCCTGAAAACGCCCGGATCCGGGCAGCTAGTGTGAAAGGGCCTTGCGGGTCGCCCCGCATCGACGGTGCGGGACGGTGCCGCACCGCGCTAGTGTGAAAGAAGGCTAATACTATGCTTTCAACTGGTTTCATTCGGTGTTTAAAGAGACTGGAAACAGTCATCAGTCCGAATAGTATGTACGCAACTGTTTTCATTCGGTGTTTCATTCAACTGAAAAAACCGACTGAACAGAAAAATAACCGATTGATCGATCGGTTGTTAAATTCAATCGGTTGTCCCATCACTAAGTTGTAACTTATAGGAAGCAGTAAGTATCCGATAAAGGGATACTTAATTACCTATTATTGATTTTTACCCTCATCTTGTGAACACAAAAACATGGACCCTCACAAAATATGTTTTTGGTAGACACATACTCTTAATGAGTTTAACTGAAGGTGACATAATGCTTGATAAAAAGTGTATTTCAGAAAGAACCATTTATCTGGTCAACTTATACCAGCACTGTCCATGGTTATATAAGAGGGCCTCACCAAATTTTGCGACAAACAGGTTGCACACCAAGGTTGGCTGACTGCCTCTTGGCTGGGAAAGCATCATCTTGAACAGTCCAACTCTGATCAAGATCAAACCTAATGGTCTTGGATTACTGTATTAACACCAGCAGTAAATTTAACACCCCAGTGTTATATCTCTAGCACCCTTGTCTCAATACAGATGTTGATCACATTTCAGACAGAGTTTAAGCTATTTTGTTGGGTTATGCTTACAGAAATAGCAGCGATCACAACTAAAAGTTTTTTTTTTATTGCACCTGATGGTGAATACAACATCTGCTTTTGGTACCACAGAGTAAGTGATACTTGGTACTTAAATCAGATTACGGTAAAGGCGGGTTTCCTAGGCGCGGAAGTAGAGACCGGAGAGCGGACTCCAACAGTCTTAGGTAATTTAATGTTACTGTTTTCCTAGAAGCAGAGCAGAACACCATGTTAATCTCTTTTCCGCTCTCCGCATTCCTCTCTCCGCTTCCGCCCCTAGGAAAACCCAGCTTAAGAGAGAATTGAAAATTACAATAAGGGTTGGAATCAAAAATTTCTAAGAAAGTACAATAATTATTAGTTTAAACAAACTAATGAATATAATAGGTTACTTGCTGTCTTCGCAACCCTGAATCTAATGAAAGTAATATTTGTTTCAGGTCTTAAATATTAACAGAATTAATATAGGTAGGATTCAATTGTTTTTCCACTTCGTTCTTACTCGGCCCTCATATATTGTCAACAGATTATGTACCTGGGTAAAAACGCTTGTTTCACATTAAAATTGTAATTTATTTTAGGTAAAATCATCATAACATAATTGCTTTACAAATACAAATGTGCACATTTGAGCAGGCTACCATCTCTTAACAAAACATATTCATACAAGTTGATTTGCTGTAGCTTGGCACTGAGGTGGGACCACCCAACTGAGGGATTTATTGTATGTATGTACCTTTTATTCCATCTATTTGTGTTACAAGACAGTTAACACAATCATTAATATTTACCTCCTCTCTGCCCAACAAATCAAAACATGTTAATATTTACACTTATAGATGTTTTGAACTTAATTGGTATATGTATACTTAATTGGTAAGGAGGTTAATGGGTGATATTATTGTATATATCAACAAAGTTAATTTGAAAACGTAGTTCAACTAGTGGTTTAACATTTATTGACTGAATATACAATGTAAAGAATTTTTTTCTTGGTGTGGATAAATAATGGAATCATGGGAAGGAAAGAAGAAAATCATTTCAAAACATATTTATAAAACTCTTTAATGTTTGCAAATTAATAAATGTGTCTGTTCATTTCGAAAGCCAGCACAAGTATGAGAACTCACCTCTGTCAATAACAACAGTTAGGAAATACCACTACACAAAATAAACTATCATCATTAAAATTAAGATAAACAGATTCAACTATATATTTTATAACACATACAACAACATGGAAATATCAACAAAACATTATAAATCAATTTGTATTAAGGTTTTTATTTCGTTTTATTTTTTGAAATATATTGGCATTACGTCAGCACTCACTCGAACATTAATAAAGATGGCAGTTTTGTGTTCACTTCATTCTTGAGAAATCGGGTACTTTGGTTATTGTCACTAAATAGTATATATAGTGGGGCGGCGAAACCAACTTATTTTGAAGGGGAAAAAATTCTGCAATGACACCATCGAATCTTAGATCACCGATTGCGGTATTAATATTTAACACGTTGTTACTACACTTTAATAATGAATATCAACTTTTATACACATTATTTTTTATGAACATCTGTTTATGTATAATTTAACATGCGAACATGTTTAAATCGTTCTTTTCTCAACAAATATGGGTCACACGGGCACTCGCAAACGATGCAAAATAAAAGGACTGTTTTAAAATATTTACAATGCAATTATTAAAAGTGGTATTCGTCTACTAGCGTAACATATTTCCATAGCGTTTTCAGTTAAAAGAACAATGAAGTACTTTGTAACAACACGGTCAAACTAACCTAAATATACATCTAAAATCTATTTATCGAACGGTAGTGTGACAGAGAAAGCAAGAGTGGATGCTGCAGAGTGGAATGGTGTGACGACTGACGACCTCACACTACGTTGAGCAAGAGGGAGGGACTCCTGCCGTAACTTGGAATGGTTCAACACGCGCGCAACACTTTTTAAAATATTTTTAAAGAACTAATTTTAAAACATTAACTTTCTATATATTTATAAACAAACTCATAACTTGCGATTAATATGTAATTTCTACATAATCTGTTATCGTATATTACGTTAAATTCTTACATTAGAGTCAATAATTTATTAATATCTTCCTTACATCTATGATCCAAAAATATTGGACTCAAAAACAGATGTGGGGAGTCGGCTGCGAGGCCATTTCATGGCTCGTGGGTTCGGCGCCAAGCCCGACACCGACGACAATGGTATTCTACAACTGACTAAAATAAAAGTAATTTGTTCTCATAAAACGTCAACACCTTTTGCAACTTAGACTTTGCGTATTCTGGCACTTAAAAAAATAATATCATAACGAACAACTCGCGCGAGTCCTCTCTCGCATTTTATAAAAGACATAATATCTATAAATATAATAAAAATGATGATGATGACGAAGAACCTAATAAATGCTGCAATAGGTGTTAAGGAGTGGGATGTTGCACTAGCACTGTTGTAGCACTTGTTTTGTCCCTAAAGGTTGCCTACTAAAACGTGGCACAGGCTCTCTAGTAGTAGGTTTCTTGTTCCAACCAGCCACCAGGGTTTCTACGCAGGTAGAAACGTCGCACCTCATCATATATGAAGATAGAGATCATGAAGGGTATTGCTGGTAACCACCAGACAAACCTACAATTACAATAAAAATGTTTTAGAATTTTAGCATAATCTGGTTAGTATAACACAAGTTAAAGAGTATTTTTTTATTCACTACACTTCTACGAGTTATGCTGTTTTAGTTATGTGTTTACAACCTGCGAAACATCATATTTTCAACAACTGTCTATTGTTTACTACCGAAAGTAACATTGTTTACAACTCAAAATTGTCCACTGTCAACAACTTCAAACATTAGTTATTGTTTTATCAACTGTTTAAATTTTCAACAACTAAAGTAAATATTAACTTTGAATTGAAGGCATAAGCTAAAAAATTCTATGAGTTTTGCAATGAAGAAAAATATTATTCTTTGTAGTGTATTGAAAAACGTCCAAAACACGTGTGAAAGTGGGTCTATACATATTCTTGACCATTTAGAGTGCTCCATAAATCTCGCACTTCAAACATGATCTCAAATATGTAATGACTCACTTTCTACTCTTGTTATGAAATATACTATTATTAATCAAGTGGGCTACTGGAGCATTCAAATTATTTAAATTTCACTATAAAACAACTGTATTATTTGGTTGATGCTAAATAATTTTGAGAATTTGTTGGGTTTTCTGCTTCTGTGATTTTTATATAATACAGTATTAGAATAATGTATGCTGGAATAAAAATAGTCATCATACTATCAAACCAACAAAAAATCTTTAAAGAAAGATATTAAACAATCAATCAATAAATTTAGAAAAAACGTAATTTATAATGTTGTTGTAAACCTAAAATAATGGGTTGACAGTTGAACTTCTTGTTACAAAACTTTACAGTAAAAAAACATCTTGAGCATCACTTTAAAAATGTTAAAGTTTTAACAAAACGAGAGTGCTATAAATAGTTTGTACAAATATACATACTGTACTGAGGCAGTTAAACCAAACTGGATTGATTAATTTTTGGACAAACTTATCATACGAGCCTAAGGATTATTACTGTGGAACCCCTTAGCTAAACTGAGTCCCTTAATTACAATACAGATACCCAGTGCCTAGTGGTTAGCATCTGTCATTACAGCAGTAGCTTAGGGATCTAATGGTTGAAAATTGTTAAATTTTAAAAAGCATTCCAGGGGATAATAAAAGACAAAAAATTAATTGTATAGTTACAGTATTTCCTCATTACTTATTATTTAAAATATTTTATGAGTCATGTTACTACTTGCTACATTTAAACATCATTTGATTTGACCTTAAATCCATAAAATAAAATATTTATACTTTATTATCACAATTGCTATTTATTTTATAAAATACAAAAGAAATATAACTGATTATCTTTTAATGACGATTACAAAATTACAGTAGTCACAATTGAAATGTGAAACATTTGAAATTTTTTGTGGTTTTGTGAAAACAATTTTTTTTTTTGTTATTGATGACATTAATAATAAATATCTATTGTTATTGGTAATGAACGTATAGAGTGTGGGGACAGATAAAACACCATTTCACAATTCTATGACACTGAGCCAGGCTTCTTAGTAAAAAAAGTAAAAACGTACAATTAATTGTAATAAAAAATATAAACAAAGTCCAAGATTGAACAGCAAAAACATGTTTTCCCAAACTTAATACAGTATGTAGAGGAACAGGGCATCTCAATCCAGATAGGGGTTAATACACACAATTAATAAACACATACATGGTTAAAAACTGGAACAAAAACTCTAGAAACAATAACAACAAAACCTGTAACAATGGAGTCTAAAATGTTATCTAACATCTACTTTAGAATCTTATGTTAACTTACAGACTAGTCCAAAACTACGAGCTTGATAAGAGTAGATTGTACGTACAGTAGTATGAAAGCGAAATATACCAGTGAAGAGCAAAATAATAAGAAATAGAGAGGTAAAAAGCATTCATTTATAACTTGAAAAAAGTGAGATAGTAGGATGAAAATGTGAAAAACTTTGAAGCAGTATCCAACTCAATACTAAGGTGACGTATTCTGGCTGCTGCAGGACAGATATTTTATAAAAAGAGCGAAGCTAGAGAAAAGACAAACTAATACGAATTAATCTCATGAAAACTAGTGTAAGAAAAGATAACCCCATGTTGTGGTGTGGCAACCAACAACCAAACTGCCCCTGAAATGACAACATTTAGCTAAGCTGCTGTTGAAGCTGGCAAGTAAAAATGTAGCTTTATAAAAATGTAAAATTTATGAAAAATGATGAAACAATAATGTGATGATAATGAAATTTGACAATGTACTCTGCAACGAGGCAACTGGCGACACCCCTGACACAAACAAAGCAACATATTGAACAAACTCATTGGTAGTTTGAAAATCATTTATTCTTTGAAACTTTTAAGATATATTATGTATAAATATGGATTTTCAGTAGTTATTTTACTTTATTTGAAACGATAACATTTTAGGAGTTAGGTCTTATTCAAATTGTAAATGGTAAGGATAATATTCTTCAACATCAGGCAGGATTATATTTAATTCGGGATTTTTTTCGGGACAGGATTTGTTCCAAGAGTCAGTGATCGCGGATGACCAATGTGACGTCTTCGTGATCGCTGAAGACACGAGAACCCTTTATAATTAGTATAGTATAGTTATTACAGTTACATTAAGTGCTGGGATGGTAGGCCAAAATACCCGTTTGTGATTAGCCACCTGTGTTTTTGTAATAAAACTTGTGTTCTACAGTTAAATTGCACCAAATAATATGTAATTTACTTGTTTGAAAATAATTATTGTTATCTAAATGTTTTTACACATTCTTAGTTTAACAGTGTAAAGAGACTGGCAATTTATTTTGTTTGTCATTAATGCCATTTGAAACAGGTTTTACTTGACACTTTAAATGGCAAGAAATATCTTGTCCCATTCCAGTCCCAAAAATTGAGAAGTAAATAAAATTTCATTCCAAACTAAAAGTTCAATCCTGTCCACTACTTAGAATTTGTGTTTTTTTGCTATTAAGGGGCAAACAAAATGAAACTTCAATATGTCCAAAACAGCCAACAAAAACATCTTAGAAAAATCTTCGGCATAATTCAAAGCCATTTTATTACAACAATAGTTGTAATTTAAACATTTTTATTCATGAAGTTTTGTTTACCCAATTGATGTTTAAACATATTGAATTGTATCTAGCAAAGTTTACAAAATTATCATTCATGTTTTATAATCTTATAAGCATTTTAAAAGGACTCAAATAAATTTGGCTGTTATAATCATTCTATGTTTGAGATTACTTAAAAAATGTATGATTTCTTTTTATAAGTGGTAGTTATCATGTTTATAGTTAGCAATACAACTAAGACCCTTATATTATGTTAATTTCAAAACTGGACGGATTAGTTTATTTTTAATTAATAGCAAATATTTCCAAAACAAACTGAACTAGAACAAACCAAAGTACAAATCATAACAAAACTACTAGGAAGTTACAAGGGGGGAATATAGTATTGCTTAGGAGTCTGACAACTGATCGCAGTATTTACCACAATCGTTTAAACCATTTGCAGTTAAGTTAGTGTAGTGTAAATACCCAAACAGTTAGCATCATTAGTGTACGAAAATATACAACACCACCAACAAGAGAATCCCAGCCTAAATACAGACTACAGTACTCCCTTTACAAGCGTTAGGAATGCAGAGAAGTCAAGACAAAGACATACAAGAAGACAGCACTCAGAGCCAACCAGGACCAAACCAGAACCAAACCGAATTGACTTACTTAAGAGGGTACATCCTAAGGCCTTTGTCCATTCCTGGTGTGTATGAAAGGAAGCAAGCCAGAGCTGTTTCAAACACTAAACCGAAGTTCAGTGCCCAATTTCTGAAACATTGATAGCATATGTAATAAATGTTACATCTGACGTGTGTTTGGAACACGACTTACTTTAGGGGGTACATCCTAAGGCCTTTGTCCATTCCAGGTGTGTATGAGAGGAAGGCTGCAAGAGCTGTTTCAAACACTAAACCAAAGTTCAGGACCCAATTCCTGGAACATTCATGTCAAGTTATGGCTAAAACTAAACAACGAATAGTACGAGTTAGAAACAAAAGTGCATGCATGATTATGTTCATAATAAAAGCATTAGTAGCTTTCAAGGTACTAAAAAAAAACAAAAAAATGGAAAGATATTCTCAAAAGCATAAAATAGTAATGTAATTTTATTTAATATTGGTATAAACAAACCAATCTTAAAAACATTGACAAGGCATATGGAAAAATAACTAAGTATAACCAATTTTTGACAGCAAGTGATTTGATATAATAATTGATAAAAACAACTATTTGAAAAGAAAACCACTGAAATATTATCAAAATACTTTCTTTTTTTTAATTGTGTTGATTGGATGAAAATAGTTAGTAAGAACAGTTAACTAAAAAATTACCTTTGTTCTGGTTGATACCTTTACACATACCAGACCTCTGGATGACGCTACCTAAGGTCTGATGAAAGTGTGTACAGTGTGAAAAAAGCTATCCATATTTTACACTGTGGTTGAAACGTAGGAAACCTGAACAGTTGCATTTATTTACAAACAATTTACAACTGCTTTGGAATAAATTTTTTTATATTGAAAACAACAGGTGTAACAATCAATTATTTTAAGCTGAAAAGAATTTAATAAGTTCTCAATGTAAGTTTCATCAACAATTTCATTGATTTTTATATGAATGAGTTCTTTTCTACCAATAATAGTGGCCAGATTACTGTCGACAATTTCATGATGGACAAAATATGTTGTTTTAAAATTTAATACCGGGTGTCCACAAAAGATTATTTAGGTTTAAATATAACCCATGTTTTCACCTTTCAACATAATGTTGTTCTAGTGTTGGTTGTGTTGGCCACATGGTTTGGTTTTGTTTCAGCCACCATTGTCGGCAAGTTTGTTCATATAAGTTAAATAAACAAAGAAACCCAAAATTAAAAAAAAAAATTAACTGACCGATACAAATAGTGGGCCAACACAATAATCTCCTAGTTTTTCAGATTTAACTTAGTTTAATTTCTCCTCAAGTTGTAAAAAAAAAAAAAACATTTCAGTACACAAACTAAGGGCAAGGGCTTGTGGATACCTATTAGCAAGTAAGGAGAAAACTTTACAGTACGTGATTTTTTTTATGTACAATAAGCTAAATGGTTGCTTATGCATTTTTATTACCGAATAAAATTAACCCATTCATTTGCGGACACCCGGTGTATCGCTCACGAATAGATGTTACACAACCTAGACATCTACAGGCCTAGGAATATCTTTGATTCCTGTGAAGGCATAAAGGACTCTGATAGGGTGTACCTCATTCCTTGGTGGATGATGGAGTTTCGCCTTGTTTTGCAGATGATCAAGTCAGCCCACTGCACTACAACAATGGAGACGAAGAAGGCGGTGTGACACGTGTACTCAAGAGCCTTGCGGTCTCGGTATGTCTAAAACACATACATCAAGATAAGAACAATTATGTTTGTATGCTAACATAGCTCAGTGGCAAAGAACTTCCAAAACATTTCTTTTTTTGCCTAGATTTATGATAATTATATAAAAAACTACTTGTTAAACAATTAAAATGATCTTTAAAAATCATTGCACAACTTAAAAGATACTAAGGTGTGGTTCTATTCACTACAACTTTTAGCTGAGTGAACTCTTACATACCACTTTATTTGACACATTCATTGTTCAACAAATAATCGGAACATAATAAGAAACACACAATCATGATAAAAAACGCTAAGGTACCATCAGCAGGTGGATTTAATTTACTATTTTCAATAGTAAATAGCACATAGCATGGCACATTTTATCCCTCACTGATTTCAATCGTTTTAGTTGGGCTTTCTGAATCCATATAAACTGTTAGCATATTTTGAAATCAATCAAAAACACATTTCTAAAAAAAAAAAAATAACAAACTTTCTGGAAATCCTACCCATTCTTGGCCATATGAGTCTGTGAGATCGTTGACAGCCTTTGAATCCCACTGTTTACGGATTCCAAACAGTGTCAACGGCAAGAAGCCGTTCTCAGCCATGATGACAAAGTAGACGAAGAAACCAGCAGCAGCTTGGATCATACCAATCTGACCATACGCCATTGAAATCAACCTGTAATCATTGAATCAATTAAACCACTTGTAAAACTTGGTTTATGATATCAGTTTGATGAACTAATTCATATTCATGTTAAAAGCAACACTTATTTTATATGTCAAAGACACAAAACAAGATACTAATTGGCATCCTTCCTAAGTTTGATTATAAGATAATACAAATATATTGGAAGACATTCGATGAATGCACAAGTTTTCTATATTTGCTACATTCACTTGAAAGATATTACTCCATGAAAATTTGCATTTGAGCTATTTTAAAAGGCTATTCTCTATTCCTGTATCAAGAAACATAGCATAATTGTAAGAGGTTATTTATACAAAATCTTTGTTATACATTGTTAAACCTATTATTTAATAACTTCTAAGAATAAAACAAATTCTTAGAATTCTTCGATTCTTTAGAACCGTTGTTACCAACATACATATAACTGAACATTAGGACCTTTAATGAGTAATATTACTGTATAAAGAACTCAATATGTCTAAAAGTTACAATTATTTTCTAATAGTTAGAACAGATAACAGATTGCTATTATATTTTTTAAATCTTGAACGTTTGAAAAAAATGCTTTCCTCCAAATGTTTTGATGCAATGTAAGAAATGTATTTGAAGAAAACCCTTAGCATGTCAGGTAAAGCATAATAACATTGACTTCGGATACTAAAGTATAACATCCCGCCAATATGGACCAGGTATTTTTTGTAAAAACGAACATAGGTACCTGTAATTCTGTAAGCAAGTCACAGATTACACTAGTTTCTAAAATTCCTCTTTCTAAATTTTTTTGTTACTGAGATAGTTGACATGACATAAAAGATGAATAGCTTACAATATATTGTTTTATACATTTGATTTGGTTAAAAGTCTGCATTAGAAATCACTCATTTATCAGCGCATTCTGTCGGCAGCTCACTTCAACTATGTCCAATTTGATTTTAAAACTTGTGAAAACTTTAACATGGGGATGGAAAGTCTAGTTATATCAATAGTCAAATATAATAACTTAATAACTATGAAGGGTGAGCCAGATGTTTTTGAACAAGCGGAAGTGAGTGTGTCATCACACAAATACACAAACCAACTTGTGAATATGGCCATTGGGCACTCCTGCGAGTGAATCTAAGGTTTAGACAATTTCTTGTTGAAAAACAGTATTTTAAATACAAAGCACAACACCTTTTAACAATGGATCTATTATCTTTACATTGGAAACTAATGGAGAAAAAGTTTCATAAGCCATCTTAGTAAGCTGGGATGGCAAGCAGGGCCGTCGCGTGGTTTATTAGCGCCCGGGGCGGGATGTCGTTAGGCGCTCCTCCCCCGCGAGAGGGTCCCCGAGGTCGGCCGTCAACCGGTCGGGTGAAATAAAAATAGAAAACACTGCAGCTGCTTGTGTCTACAGAGCGACACTGTGATATTGCAATATTGATTTATATTAAGATATTTAAGTTGGGACAGGGCCTTCAACTCCATAGTGGGGTTCATTATTATGCTATTATTACTGATACATAACCAATGAAAATCTAACAACAACAGTGGCAGAATACTTGGCATTATTCACCCTCTTGTACCAAAATAACTTGATTCATATCTGTTTAGTTTCCAATGTAAAGACGGTCGAAGACAAAATCTCGCTACATGACAATAGATTTTAATTAATTTTCAAGCCAAACAAACAAGTTATGTCAGGCAATAAAATATTTTTCAAACAAAACTTCACAATTAAGCAAAAATCTTTTACAATGGCTCACCCTGAATACAAAACAATAGAAATTTCAATAAGTGTTTAAAACAGCATGCAGTGAAAAACATAAGAAATTTTATAACTAACACAAAGTTATAAAGAATCACTCTTTTGAGAATAAGAACAAATGCCGTGCATAGAAAACCAAACACTTGGACTGCCCATGTATTTACTCTCATTGCTCATTAACTAGACGAGACGACTAAACTCGTACATACTGAGGAGGTACAGTTTACCCAGTGACTGTTATACTGGTTTCTAGGCCAATGTAGCAAACATATTGCAAAATCGTTCCTTTATACACTAGGTTTTTAAGCTTCAACGCTTTTCAAGAAATTGCTAATCAAAGATAAAGTGGTCCTTTATGTCACACATTCCTGAAGCCAGAAGAAAATAATCTGTTAAGATAGTAAAACTTTTTGTAAATTTTACAAAAGTTCTCACTAAAACAGTTAACAAAAACGGGTCCCTTTTTTAATCTTTTGTCTATACCAGTGACAATTTATAAATTAATTCAATTTAAATGCTTTTGAGAAAAAGTAGTCCAAATCCATTTAAGTTTTGAGTATGTGCCAGAAATTGAATCCGTCCCTCGCGCACCGAAGTCTGAGACCCTAACCAGTAGGGTGGCAACATACCCAAATTCTTATGCAATATTAAGAAAAAAATAAAATTGACTGGATTAAATTCTTAATAGGCTGTTTGAATTGCCAATAAAAATCATTGGAAATTGCAATTGAAGACTCAAGTAGAGTTAAGTCTAAATTTCAATGGTTGCCTTTAAGAAGATTTTTAAAAAATTAACAAAAACTCAATATAAAATGACGAATTTCCAATTAAATAATCAACTCGAAAACAAAAACCATTCTTATATTTACAAACATCAAAAATGTACTTGAAAGCTACAAAAAGAGAAAATACAATATCAAAGTAAAATAATACTATAAAAAATGAATGTTAAATATCTTCATAAAGAAATACTTACCTTAAAAAGGAAGAGTGCCAAAAAATTGTGATAACATAAACATATTGACAACCGATCACATAAATATAGAGACGAAAGTATTCATGCCCCACACAGCCATGCTACAGCCACACATTCGGTCACAAGGGCCACCACAAATACAAAATCACTCTGTCACATCATTAGTTCTGTATACTCAATAGTCATTACTGTACTGTATATCAATTATATCATTATAATATAATATAAACATTCAACTATCTAGACACTACATTTTCCTAACTCTATTTAAATCAGCAAAAAATAACTAAAATATTTAAGCATAAAAAACAAAAAATAAAAAACAATGTAAAACAAAACAAATATTGAATGGTAATTTACTTTTATTAAATTTTGAAGTTTTCTATTTCTGTGATGTTCCTGTCAGAACCCAAACTTGATAAGATAATGCAGATTAAGTTTTAGTTTTACTACTGCTATTTTTTTTCTAACAATTTAATTATACAAATTTCTTGTAAAAAACTAGTAATTCAATTTAATAATAGGCAAAGAGATAGTAAATGTTAGATGAATAGTTGAAATTATTGATTGTTAAGTATAATTTATAATTTGCGGTTAAAACACTTTAAAGATGATGTTTGCTAACCTTTAAAAATAGATTTCAACAGAAGAGAAAGTGAAATTGTAAAAAAAATGTTATCAGGGATTTTGAATAACATGAAGATATGTAAAAGAATATAAAAAACATACAGGCATTCCGTTTTTGAAAAAAATAAAGAAAAAAACATGTAGTGTACAAGTGGTTCCCACCTGTGGTTGACCAAGTTATCCCTGTACGGATCGCGAGGCTGGCGTTTCATAATGTCCGACTCTGGAGATTCGTATGCCAGAGAAATGGCAGGCATCTAATAAAACATTGCAGTCACAGCAGTGATAGAAACATTACAGGAGCAGAGTTATATCACAGTCACAAGTATAGTCGGATGAAGATTCTGCAGCGCGGGACAAGTGAGTCATGCAGACAGTCGCTCCATAAGCCGTCGTGTCAAGAAGAATAAGAATAGAGGAGAGAAAGAAAAGCCGTACAGGAGGGGGGAAAGTGAGAGATGAAATGATTGGAGCAACGTGCATCGTGCGAGATAACTTACCCTAAAGACACTGCTAACTCACAGCGCCGTCTCAAATATCTCGGGATAGTGGAAGAAATTGATCTTATATTCACCTTACAATTTAATATTAATCAATTACCTTTCATTCACGAGTTTATCAGTGAATGGATTTCGTGGTTGCCGCTTCATGATATCTGATTCTGCTTCTTCGTAGGCGAGGGAAATGGCTGGTACCTGAGATTGACATGTTTTAAAACACGATGGATCAGTCTTAAATTGATTTAAACTGTAACCACAACGACTAAAACCTACCACACTGTATTTCTATACTAAACACTAAAAACAAAACAGAAAACTAAAACCCATTGACTGAGTGGCTAATCGAATTTGCTAAAGTGCTAAAGGTAAAACTAAGCTATTAAGCGTTCGGTGCAGGAGTGACAAATGAATGAAAGGTTTGAGTGCTAATCAAATCTACAAAGCGGTTAGGAAGAGGAGGGGTATTGTCCTCTGCAACTGTTAAGTAAAATAACTAGGATTATTAGTCGAGACGATTCCTGAAATAACAAAAGGGAGTTAGTTGTCCATGCTGTAAAATCCACAATCTGAAGTTAATTCCACCCTCACACACCTCCTAACTAATACCTTGCGTTGACCAAGGAATCGGTGAAAGGGTTCCGAGGGGGTCTCTTCATTATATCTGACTCAGCAGCCTCATAAGCCAATGAAATAGCAGGCACCTAAACCCACCAGTGTAAGAGAAAGCACCCACATGACATACAGCAAAATTTTGAGAAAATTACTGTTCACCTCAGATTGTGGCGTTATGTTGAAGTTGACTAGACTGTAGTAAAATTATGACTATAAAGTAGTCATAATTAATGTATACAGAGTTAAAGTAGAACTCCAATCATCCAAATCAATAGGGACCGACCACATTCTGATGATAAAAATTGAATAATTGGAAATTGTATTTGATAGGAAATAGTCAGAGTCAAGCCAAACTTTTATCGCCGCAATCGCAGAACGCGTCTGCAAAGATTACACAACCGAAAAATTCACGCTTTTGCCGCCATTGCAGAGGAAAATGATTATTTTCCGTGACTGCAGGAGAAGACGAAGATGGCCACAAGACCGTGGAAAATGTTCAACATTTTGCTGCAATCGCAGAAAACGATAATAATTTTTCCGTGATCACGGGAGACGATGATGATGTCTACATGATCGAGGGAGATAACTCCAGATCAAGGAGGACGACGATGTTTACGGGACCGCAGGAGACAATTTGATGATGTCTAACCTAAACGACCGTGGGAGATGTTCAGGATTTGCCGCAATCACAGCTTCTACCTTCGTTAATAAACAAGCAGTTTTTAACATTCTTTCTGTAAGCGATTCGAATCGTCGGCGATTCGGATATTTGGAGTTCTACTGTATATACTATTGGAGGCATTGTGTAAAATATTCTATAAAATTCTTTGAAACTTGGCTAAAATTGAAATATGTTTGAATTTCACAGCAAGGAAACATGTTGTAATCAAATAGATATACATACAAAAACATTCTAAACAAACAACTTGATATTGGGATGGGTGGCAGCCACACAATAAGAGATGAGGCGATCATTCCCCACTTACAAATATATTGTTCTACACTACTGCCTTTCAGGCCTAAGCTACTACAATGCTACTTAGTGACTAAACTAGGCAGAGAAAAGAGTAATAGTTTCAAAGTACTTGAGGTATTGCTTTCAGTTATCCATCACAGTGTTAAAAATGTCAATTCTGAAACTATCTTTGCATATCAACAAATAATGCAGAAGGACTTAAATAGTAATCTAAAACTACAAAATTAAAAAAAGTATACACATTTTTTGTTACTGAATAATATGAGTTTGAGTTCAAGTAGTATGGAAAAATATAAAAATATTTTGAAATGACCAACTGAGGTTAAATACATAATTTTTTTAGGATTTAGAGCAAATACTGTGATAAACAACAAAGAAATGGCGTGCAATCAGTAACCAAATATTACTGATAGTGATAGTGTTATTTGTTAAATAGCTTAGTTTCTTTCATACAGCAAAAGTAATGCTGCTTGCACGTGTTATTAATGTTCAAATGGCAAGAGAATTGCTATAACAACTGGCTCAGATTAAAGCTGCATATCAGAGTAACAAGTTAAGCACTTAGCATATAAAGTAACAAGCACCGCCGTGAATAAAGCGGAGCGTAAAACCACAACCTGGTACAATAATTTGCCAAATAAAAAACCGTTTTAGTTTTTATGTAAATATTTAAAAAATAGCATGATATTAATACAAGTTTGAAACTTCAACTCTAAATTAAGGCTTTTTTTGTGTGAACAAAAAATACAAGAAATAAATTTTGACAGACATTTTAAACTTGCCAAAAACTTATTTAAAAATAAGCCTGAGGATAGGAAACTATGGCTGAGTTTTTCTTGAGACTACTAATTATTAAAGGTATTTATTTTTTTTCAGTATTCAACTGCCGAAGGCTATCTTTCAAACTTTATATAGCTACATACAAACAACAAATTTTTGATGTATGCCTGAACTGAGATACAATGTGATTAAAATAGACATTTATAAATCATTTATTTTTTAGTTGTTATTAGATCCTATCTAAGATTTTCATAGTTTTACTATTATTAAAATGGTCTATACTGTAGGCATGATCAAGCCAGTTATGAAAAAAGCCATATCACATTCCTCATAGAAATTTGTAAAGAATTGTAGATAGTATGGTGCAATCTACGAAAATTGAAGATGTAAAACAGTGCTCAAAACCACTCAGTAATGTCAATGAGATGTCTTATGTTCCTCCAAACTACTTTCTTAAAAACAACTAAAAATACCCTAAACACTACTGTTAACTTTGTTAAACAGAATTATAAATAACAAAATATGTAATGTTAAGGATGTAACATAAAGCAAAAGAGCCTAGGTTTTAAGGATTTTTTGTGAGGATAGCAGACTTGCCTAAATGGTAAAAAGTCCAAACTGGCATAATAGAGAAACAACTTTACATTACACACAAAATTATATTAGACATTGGACCTAAAGAAATCTCTCTCTTCCTTAGTTGAAAATGCTGTCAGCGACAGTGATGTGTATGCTTCTAATGTTTTGTGTATTATAATGTAAAGTTGTGGGTCTATTGCGCCAGTTTGGACTCTTTCCCATTCAGGTAAGCCTGCTATCCTCACAAAAAAAATCCTAAAAATATGTAATGTATTATATTTTTTTAATTCTGGATTTGATGTTTATATGACATTTGAGTTATGTTTAATAGCTAAGGAGAATAGTGTTATTACCTCCCTAGTTAAGGATAATTAATAATAAATAATAATATTATTAATTAACCTAAAAATATCATTAGACGTAAACATTCCACGGTAATTATTTGCTCAGAAATGTAGGCTAAATATATTTACAAAATTGCAAAATTCATAATGCTTTATTTACAAGGGTTAAGAAATTTGATGTGTTTGTCTTTTACTTGGTAAGAGTACTCATAAGATCTTACTAATCAATGCCACTAATAAACTGATACTGAACTCACTAGTCAGTGATACACTGATATTTTATGATTTCAAAACCATAGGGATAGCAAGATGACCATAATTATAATCAGTAGCTAAACAAGTTATATTGTTGGACATTACATCTTTGATCTTGTTCTAACTTGTGCTAAAATGGTATTCAGGTTCTATTCTAACCCCTAGGTCATATATGCATATCACGTAAGTTCTAATTTACTAACCCTATCTAATCTATTTTTAGAACAAAAAAGTAAACTAATATGCTTACCATGTCAGTTCCCAAATCGATACATAGAATGGTGACGGTACCCAGAGGAAGAGGAATGTCCAATAGGATAAAAGCTAAGAAAGGTGAAATTTCTGGAATGTTGGATGTCAACGTGTATGCAATGGATTTCTTGAGGTTATCAAAGATAAGTCGTCCCTCCTCAACTCCAGTGACAATGGATGCAAAGTTGTCATCAAGTAGAATCATGTCGGCAGCTTGCTTGGACACGTCAGAACCTGCGATACCCATGGCTACACCTGCAAAATCCAGACCACAACAGTTAGATATCACATCTTATAAAACTGTTACTTAGACGGTTGAAATTGTGAATTCCAGGTAGTTTGTTTGGAAATTGACATGATAATGTCGCACATTATATGTACGGTATGTTGAAGTTTGCCAGGTTTTGTCTCAATGTCGGTCAGTATTTAAGTGAAAATGTGTCTCCAAGGAATCAGAAAATAATACAAGAAAACAATATTGAGAAGACAACATATCCTATCCCTTAACATTAACAATTCTAATAAAAAATGAAAAATGAGAAGTCCTTATGAATGCTAAATTAAAACATTTTTTGATTTTTTTTTATGCTCACAAAAAACCATTTAAGTAAGTGATAATTTAGGCCTACATGAAAGTACTGAGTTTACTGTAAATAAACTATTCAGACTATTCAGTTATTGAAAGTATGGAACAGTTAGGTTCAAAGTAAAAGCCCTCGTACCAATATCAGCCTTCTTGAGGGCAGGAGAGTCATTGACACCATCTCCAGTGACAGCCACAATGGCTCCCATACGCTGGCAGCCCTCCACAATGATCAGCTTCTGTTGTGGGGATGTTCGGGCAAACACAATCTCAGTATGGTATCTAAAATCATTCACAAGTACAACTCAGAAAACAGAAAAGATAAAATCTAAACTAAGGTACATACTTTGGTCATGGATGCTATAAAACCACTATGCTTTATTTAAAATTCCAAGTTAAAAAAGAGTAGTCCACATAAGTAAAACACAAACGTACTATTTCTTAAAATATGAACACTTTCCAGTACATAGCACTCACAGCTAGTTTAGTCAAAGGTTTTGTTAGTATACTCATACTGTTTGTTTCTATTAGCTATACTCAATTTACATGTCTCATGGAACATGGAATTTACATGTCTCATATCCATTTTTGTATCTTAACCATTGTTAGAATTTTGTGTTCAAATTAAATGTTTTCTGACTTTAATTATTGGGAAAAAAACTGTGGCCTGAAGATTGCTTGTAAATAAAGAGAGAATTAATTAAACAACATTATACTTTGGGTACTTATCAATAATGTTAATAGTGTTTTAAAGTTGTTTTTTTTTCAATTGAGATTTCTGCAGTATTCATTACAATCCAGTGTGCAGTATTTACCGAAGGATCTCATCCAGCTGGTCAGCTCCTACATCTCGCAGCTCTGTTCCGTGGACCACAGCAGCCTTGGCCTCACGAGGGTTCACTTCTGATACTGGGATGTTCAATCTCTGAGCGATGTCTTCCACTGTTTCGTTGCCTGTAGAACAAAACAATATGTTGGACAATGAAAAGTGTTTACATCATGTCAAAAATACCAATGTTTGGTCAATTTTTAACACTTATTCTGAATACTACGAATATTAAGGATTAAATGGCAGTCCCAAGAAGATCATTTCAGTCGTTAGTAATTTCCAAGATTAAAAAAATAGCTACTTCACCATTTACTTGATTGATGTTTTTGAATGGCAGCTCTTTTTAACGTAAGCCGTGTTTACACGATGCCAATTGGCGGGCAGGCTACCTGCTTCAGGTAACTTGAAATACACTAGAGGCAAGTAACCTGCCTGCTCTACTGGCCTCTTGTAAAGCGGCTTTAAGGACAATCAAGAACTAGTGTGATGTAGGATATATCTCTGTATGTTCACTGCAGTATGTGTGATGTCTAAGTAAATACATTAATTATTTTCAACATGGTTTATATTTGTTTGTCACTAGACTGCCTTTGATTTGATATTTTCTACTTTTGGAATGTACCTTCAGAGATGATTCCGACAGACTTGGCAATGGCCTTGGCAGTGATAGGGTGGTCACCAGTGACCATGATGACCTTGATACCGGCAGATCGGCACTTGGCGACGGCATCAGGCACAGCAGCTCGGGGAGGGTCAATCATGGACATGAGTCCCACAAACCTCATACCAGACAGGGGAAAGTTGGGGTCGTCACCGTCAAACTTGAAACCCAGGGGAAACTTGTCCGAAGGCAGCATTTGGTCACAGAATCCTGGAGAATCAATAAACCTTATATTTAAACGGGAAATATGTTTATTAACAAAAAATAAGATTGATTCGACAAAACTAGGTCACATGTACGAGGAATATATTAAATCAATGATATTTTTAAATCAATTAGATATAATTGTTATTTTTTTCTTGATTTTATATATTAAAACTTTACAGGGGGTTTTTAAATTTCAAGATTCTGAATCTTTCGTGATTTTTGTGTTGAATGAAGGATCATTTGGAAAGGAAGGGACCTTAATTAATACCATAATTTAATGGTACCATTCCATTTTGTAGTGTGCCATAATTTTAGTTTGGGGTTTCAGTTTAATATAAACTGAGTTTTAATTTTTTAAAGTCTAGCAGACTTTGAAACAAAATGAATTTGAAACAAACTTACAACAATAGTGTCAGGATTATTTTGAGTTTGTTTCAATTTAATTTGATTTAACTAACAGCTGTTTTAAACTGTCACTAAAAAGTATATGTTTGAAATTTTTAACTGTAAAGGATGTTCAGAAAATGTATAATTTTAAACTACATATATCCTAAACACATCATAACCCTTTTACATGTAAGTGGTAAGAGTATTTTACCAAGCACTCGCTCTCCAAGACCACCCAGTTCCAGGTAGGCGTTGTTGAATGCCTCCTTCATCTCCTCATCCAACACCTTCTCCTTGCCTCCGATGAAGATGGTGGAACATCTGTCTAGAATCCTCTCAGGAGCTCCCTTCATCACCATCAAGTGACGGGGGTCGTTGGGGTCCTCTGTCTCATGGATTGATACCTATAAAAAAATACAACTTGTATGAGCTACACTTGCTTGAGCATTGAAAACAGTTACTGTTAAAACCTTGAATAGTATCATGCAAAATTCATATAAAAAATCATATAAATCATACAAAATTATATAAATCATATAAAGCGATAGCCCAAATTTTTAAGCAACAGAAAATAACATAATAAGATACGAGGAAATATTTAAAACAACTAATAGTTATCTAATAGTTATTACTACTAAAGGGAAGAGGAGGCAATGGATAGAAAAATCTGGAGGCAGTGTGTTGGAGAGGCAAAGTACCACCTTGGGTACCAAGAGCCACGGCAGTAAGTAAGTAAGTAGGTATAGTTATCTTATCCTCAATAACTGGTCTTAAAAATGACTTCAAATCAAGGATGGACTAAATATTTATTTCAGAAATTTCGGGACGCGTCCTTCTCAATGTCAAACAGTTAAAATTAAAATTATGATGTGCTAAATTCAGTCTTGGCAATGGCGGAAACAACATCATTGTCACTGGCCATACCGGCAACATCTCCGGCGGTCGCGGGGATGTCTTCATCGTCACTCAAGGCACAGCAAAATTGATGACCATTGGAACAAATCCCGAATCAAATGTAATCATGTACGAATGATCGGAAAGACATTTTTTTCAGAAGTTTCAGAACTCGTCCATCCCAATGTCAAACTGTTAAAATTAAAATTATGATGTGCTAAATTCTGTTAAGAAAAGTCCTGTCTTAAGTTTTGAATAACCACTACTAACTGACCTGGTATTTGTTTGTTGAGTTGAAGGGAATTTCACACACTTTCCTGTTTCGTCTTCTGATTGACAAGACGTCTCCTAGAGCCAACTCCATGCATTTCAACAATGCTGCCTCAGAAGCATCACCATTAACTTCTCTGAAAATTTATATCACCTTGTAAAAATATAATAATAATAAATAATAATAAATAATAATCACAGCTTGGAAATAGTTAGCTATTTAAGAAACAAAAATAGTATATTTTTATTACTTTTGTAGGGGGAGGAATGATTTTAGTTAAATTTAGACTAATCTTTAATTACTTTGTCGAGGACCAAGTAAATTACTGTTTGATGTAAGTTAACTGACAATAATTATCAGAGTCAAGACAAGCAGTGTTGTTTCCTAGGTACAGTTGTTAGGTTGCAAACAACATGGGCTTTCATCTATATAATAATACTATTAGACAGAAGTCGCACACACACAAATCTTTGCCTTGTGCTGCAGTGGCTTAGTCACTACAGAAAAACCTGCTGATCCAAATTACATCTGATGGTCTGGCACTTTCAATAATTCGGCATCTATCCATAGGCTTAAACTTTTTTGTTTTTTAGGAAACAATGGAAATGGAAGGTTCATACATTTGATCATGAAATTTTATCATCATCATTTGAAGGTTCATTCACCTTCAATATGATTTAGTACAATTAAAACTTACTTCTTCAGAATAGAAACACCTTCCTGGCCTCCCTTGAACTCTGCTCTGTTGCAAAGTGTGGCGATTCTGGCAAGAGCCTTGAATCCAGGGCTTGTGCGATCGTATTGAACACCTTGAAAAATGAAACAAACAATCCTTGATATAATCTCTATAGAATAGATCTCTTTAAGTTTACCTAGGCATGTTTCTTTAATACTTTAGAAGAATTTTTCAAAGTTTAAAATAAATTAAGAAATATGTGTATAAGAAAAAACTTTTACCACTTTTTTAAGCTTGCTATGATAAAGTACAAGAAGGAAACGTGACAAGTAGAATTTTAAATAAAGCTATTAAAACAAATAGCTGTCAGAAATATTTTATATTTAAATACCTCTTAAACATAGCTTTTATCCGAGACAAATGTTTGTTTCAGCAAGAGGGTTATCTGCACCACTAGCAAGCTGGGTCTACCTGATTGATCTTCAGTGGTATCAGCTTCGATGATCTGATTGTCAAACCACATGTGCGCAACTGTCATCCTGTTCTGTGTGAGGGTACCGGTCTTGTCGGAGCAGATGGTAGACGTGGAGCCCAGGGTCTCTACAGCCTCAAGGTTCTTGACCAAGCAGTTCTTGGAAGCCATCCGCTTGGCTGTCAGAGTCAGACACACTGTCACCGTGGCTAGCAGTCCCTCGGGCACATTGGCCACGATGATACCTGACAACACATGCACATATAGAGAAAAAACTTATATTGTTAACACTTAAATATGTCCACAACTTGATAATTTGAACTGTTTCTATTCTAATTCGTATAAAAGCGTGTATACTATTTTTTAAGTAAAATTCCAGGTGTTTCCATGTTTTTCCATGGATTTTAAAAGTTTTTCCCAGGTTCCTGTGTGATTGTTTAGGCCTTTAAGTATAACAAATTCAAGGCCCACAGATTAACCTTTGTTTATCATATCACATTTGTACCGGTATTCCTAATTGTTCCAAAATTCTGTGAGCTAGTGTTGCAAAATTAATAATCCTTAATAAGGACACGTAACATGATCATTTTCATCATTAAGGTCATGAAAATCCATCTCCCACTACTGCGGCAAAATCCAGTTTTTTTTTCAAACTCTAGTGGTATTTGTGGTTGGTATACACCTTGTATAAATATTCCTGCCAACCTTATCAATTTACACGCAGCCTTATCAACTGGCAAAGTTGTAAAACAACTGAAATTGTTTAGTAGCTGGTATTAAAGTAATATATTCATCACTATAAAATATTTTGGACGGGGTTTCCCAAGGCTGAAAACTTCATTACGCTTAGCATGTACCATGTGAAATATTCATTCTCATTTTTCTGGCCATGTTTAAGAATATATACCTTACACCTTATGGTTTGTCAAACTGGATATCTTACCGATAAGGAAGATAACAGCGTCCAGCCAATGGTAACCAAGGGCGAAGGCAATGATGAAGAACGAGACTCCCAGGAACACTGCGACACCAGTAATGATGTGGATGAAATGGTGAATCTCCTTGGCAATGGGTGTCTCTCCTGTGTCCAGACCTGAGGCCAGCCCAGCAATGCGACCCATCACTGTGTTGTCTCCACAACTGATCACCACACCCTTGGCTGTGCCTGTACAGTAGTTGTAATGTCACATTTATAGTTCTCAACAATTAAGACTTTCAAAATATAAAGAAAACCCTGACATATAAAAATTCACAATCTCAAGAAAATATTACTGGATAATTTAATTCCAATCATAAATATTTCAAATAGATTTTGCTTAAATATGTTTTAAATCACTTAAAATGATTCGCAAATTTATGGAATCGCTTGTGATGGTTAAAACTAAAATGATTTCCTGTGCATTTTTAGATTTTTTTAAATCAAAGTGTAAAATGTACTAGTCAGATCAACTTAGCATCCAGCTGTACAGCTAATGCCTAATACGGCAGATAAACAATACTATAAGTTGAACTAATAGTTCTACATCGTAAGGGACAACAGTAGAACATTACATCTCTGTCAGCTATATCTGTTATTACCTTCGACTGCGTTTGTTGAGAAGAATGCCAGATTCTTGGTCTCCAGAGGGTTTTCATGAGTGAAGTCAACGCCTCGGCTCTGAGGCTCTGACTCACCAGTCAGAGATGAGTTGTCTACCTTGAACCCTCGGCATTCGATGATCCGGATGTCTGCAGGAATCCTGTCACCAAACTTAACCTCCACCACATCTCCCAACACGATGTCTTCTGCTCGTAGTGTCAGTTTCTCTCCTTGCCGAATAACTGTTGCAAACTACACAGAACCAAACAACATTCAGATCTCCTCCTATCAAATTTACTTTCATGAATAGCCTACTCTACCCTATTATAACCTAAATTGTACACTGTAAAACATATGTGTAAGTTCTATATAGAAACTTCATATAAATACTATTCAACCCTAATTTGAATTTTTCCAAATGACATTTAATAATTTTCCATCAGAATAAACTCTGTGCAAAAACTTTTACAATCATCCATAGCCAAGGTAGAAAATAGATTTTTTTATTGCTATATCTTTATTGAATTTACCACAAATGTTAGTCATGTTTATATTTTTGTTGAAGAGATATTTATTCCTATTGGTCCATGTAGGATGATAGTGTTCACTCAACATTGACATATTGTTGTAAGTGTCTAAAGGTAGATAACAATTGTGTACTACACTTTAAATTTCTGTATTACCAGGATTGAATGAATCAGATAGCCTCTTTCACTAACTCAATATGGCTCGAGTCTTCTCGGTGAGTAGTCAAAGAATTTGTAAAACAGCATAACAGCAATATTTTCAAGTCTCCTAATAAATGGATATATGATGTACTACTTATATTATTTGTAGTATTGTTTTAAATTATGATGGCATTTTTGCCAAAACTTTACGCTTGGTAAAAACAGTTCACTTGACACTTTGAGGCTATATGGATGGTATTAGATGCAGATATCTGCTAAGCAAAGTCCACATTTGTTATCTTCCTCAAGAGTTTTTGTAGATCAGTAAAATATTTGTGTTCAATTTATATAATTATACAGGAGGTATTGTCATAATTGAGAAACTTTTCAAGGTTATATTTTAAAGGAGAGCCAATTGGCTGGTAAGCATTTCTTTGTAAAGGAACATAAATCAGCAAGCTTACCTGAGAAAATTAAAGAGTCCAACAACTAAAAGATCCTACTCAAACCTCTTCAACCTACTCTCTGAACAAGTTTTACATCAGGAAGAAATATCAGTGTTATGTGTTGTGTTCTTATTGTGTATCTATTAGTTCCAGGACTTTAATTTTCCCAGGTTAACTTGCTGAACTCTATCTCCTCTTTTGTTCAAAAGAATTAATCACTTATAAATCAAGTATAAATATATATTCACTGTAAATAACTATCATTATGTGACTAAGACTAAACTAGGATAAAGATACTGTACTACTATCAGCCATGTGTGGGGATGGGGCACTACACATCAAAAGCTGGTGGGGTGCATCATGCATCTAGACTATTAAATTGATAAACCTTTGGAAACTTACAAATTCTTATCTTAACTGTAATCCTTATAACTAGGGAAAAGACACAGGTTGAATCTCATAATTTTTTAAAACTATTGCATCTGAAATCCGACAAATAATATTGTACGCTGAAATATGTTTTCATTTACAATAGGTCTTGGAAAATATGACATTGGTAAGAAATAGGTTTTTAGTATAAACCAACAACAAATGGTATAATCATAATCACTAGTTTTAACTCTGTAAACTGACATATTTCCTCTTAAATACACTTTGAACATCTAGTACAATATCTTGACTTACTTATGTATTAACAATTTAGAGCACAAGTAAAATATGTATATAAATGGCAATGACAAATAAATATCACAAATTTTGTTGGGTAAAAAATCACAATTATTATGAAAGACTGAATGGATTGAGGAATAAATTTGCTGGTAAAAATTTAAGGCAAATCGATTAGTTTAAAACAGAATAGGCTTTTAAAAGTTTAAGTTGTTTTAAAACAACAAATTATGAAAAAATAATAGCATGATTTCCTAAATGCTCTGATCTAAATAAACAATGTATTTTAACTGTTCTATAATCAAACCCATTTCACAATCATGCAAAAAGTATAACCATATTTTATGTTTATGGTTAAACTCTAACCGATTTGAAGATCTATAACACCAAACATAACCACACACCAGACCTAACGTGCAAAGTGACAATTTTACATCTGTTTCATTGTTATGTAAGATAGCAATTACAAATGTACTAGCCTATCACGAAAAATAGTGAAATTTTCAATTATGATTGAAATGTAGTAGTAAACTTTATTTTTTCTTCATTTTAATTGTTAGGATAGGTTGTCGTTATAATTTCAGTAGAAAATGTAAAGGCCAGGAATCAGAAGAAAGTGTGGCTTTAAAGTACTCATCGTAATAATCAAACTACTAAAGTATTATAAACAAAAAGTCATATTGTAAAGATTATTCTTGTGAAAAACATAGTCTTACAAACTTTTTCTGGTTGTATATAAAAACAATATTATATAAAAACACCATCCAGATTTGGTGTTGATATTAAATATGTGAACAAACAATGCATTTATTTATTTTTATAATTTCTAGATCTCAGAACTTCTAGAGTTATCTGTCCTGTTGTAGAAATTTTGAGGATATTAAATTGAAGGTTAAATGTTGTGTTAAATGTGGACTAGAAGAATCAACTTAGGTTCAACAGGTTTTTTTCAGAGTAACAATAATTCTTTCACTTAACAATACAAACATTACTTTGTGAAACACCTATGACTGGGGGCTTTTGTGATGATGTGTGGTAAAGTTTCAGTTTTTTATAATTAATGACTAATGAACTAAAGTGAATTATCTGTAGGTGAGTTTAGCCAATATTGCTCAAGTCTAGGTGTATCTTATTTTTCTTCGTGTGGAATAATATCAATTTATAATAAATCAAGTGACTTTTGGAAAAAATCTAAATAAAGAAGTGCTGAAAGTAGCAAGATAACTGAAGTAGCATGAAGTAACTTTCTATATAATAGTAAACTAGATCAGTCTTGCATCCATAGGGATCAGTCAAAAGAAGGAGAATTGAAATTTTACAGTAATAAGAAATAAGAATAGGAATGAATGCATTATTGTCATTACTTGTCAATGTCACAATTAATTAATCTCATGTGATAAGTCCACATAAACTAACACACCAAAACCCCAAATAGACGCTAAAACTATTACATTCTTTAACATTAAAAAAAAAACATTCTTCATAAAATACAGTTCAAACTAAATTCCATACCGGTACTAAATTTATACCGAGGAAAAACATTTGAAATAAAAAGTGTATATTTAGCCATATTTTTTTATTTATTTGTGTAGCATTAACTTAATAGAATGTTTTTAAATAACTGAGGTTTGATTTCTATTTGAAAAAAATCGTAAAAAATATCCAAAATTTTTGCCCAACATGTTTTAGAATAGCATTTTCACCAAATAGAAAATTAAATTAAAGGTTTTTTTAATACACATAAATCAATGAAACTTTAAAGGCTGTGTCCTCTGTTACCCCACAGGTAGTAGTTAGTCGGGGTTTTACTATAGTTTGGAATTTAAGGAAAAATTTGACAGACAGGTTGTGATGCAAAACTTGAAAGGCTCATTAAAATATATGTTTATTTGGATAAATTTAATCAAAATCAGAGAATTGAATGCGATTTGTACTCAAGTATAACCACTTAAACTAACGGTGTGGGGATCCAAAAAGAAAACAACAGTTTGTCTCATAATAAATAAATATGAGTCATATATGTGTGTTTGTAGATTTTCTTTTAAAACATGTTAAATTCCCAATATAGAGTTATCAACTAACCAATAAACTCACAAAGTGATACTAACCGTTGGAAGTTGGTGTTTTTAGTAATTTTGATTTGATTCCAAGCTTTTACAGCTTTAAAAAGTCTGAAATTAAAAACTGAAAATGAAATGAACAGTTTGAAAATAAATTGTTGATGTGCATAATTAGAATTGGGCAAATCTGTCTTGCGTGATTACGTTTAATATTGTAATTTATTTCTTGACTAGGTTTGATTTTTCCAAACCCCCCCCCCCCCCCCCCACTCCAAAATACATCCTCATCATCAGTTGATAAACATAATGTCATGTAAAGGATATAGCCATTATAGTTCACTGTTCTCCATTTTGCTGAGGCTATGGAATCATGTGCGACTCCTGGATTAATTTAGAGCTCATTCGTTATTGAGAACTTATTTAAGTTTTTTTACTTGTTTAACAATTAAGGTTTTGATATTAATATTGTGCAATTCCAACCATTGTTAGATATAAGCAGGCAATTTCAATTAAATGATTAAATATAGAAAATTAGAAAATAAAATAACCCAAAACATACATTAGTGAAAAACAGGTCTAATCTACAATATAAAAAATGTAAAATGCACGAAGTATAAAAGTGTTGTAGCAAAGTATTTAAAAATATTAATTTGAATCAAAAGCAAAATGGTTAATAAAGGATGCTTCAAAGCTTGTAGTAGAGCATTAGTGACACTTTAGTAACCCACATAGCAAAAAGTTTTAAAATATATAGACAATTAGCAGCATGTTTCATATAAATTAGTAAGTGCTCAATTTGTTAATAAATCCAAGTGTAAGGCATTATCAGTAACACAAGCGAGAATATTAAAAGACGATATATCAAAAATGTCGATTGCGAGATACGTAAAAGTTAGTCATAACTATCTCTACCTAGCCCATACATTGTTGGAACATTAAGTTTAAAATATAACTTAACTATAATAAGACGGATTCCAACCGATTACCTACCTGCGGAACCATATTTTTAAAGGACTCCATTATTCGGGAGCTCTTGCTTTCTTGGTAGTAGGAAAAGATTCCAGTAACAATGACGACTGCCGCCAACACAATGCCCAGGTACAACTGCGAAAGCGTGACATACAACTAGACTATCGAGCACTACACAAGCAATGACTGAGGAGGCCACGCCAACGCCAACACACGACCACACACGTCTATGCCGGCTCTGTCATGCAGCTACAGAGTGTACCTAACATCAGAGCTGGGGAGGAACAAGCTCTCAGAGGTTTACTAAATGTTTAGAAAGTTTGGTTTGTAAAGTGGCAGAACTTTATAAACCAAACTTAAGTGGAACAACAATATTTTAAGAGAGTATGATACAAGTGATGTCAAAACCAAACAAACTGATAAATTTATTCTTTGGATATATCGCTTGTAGTCGGTATCTAAGTATCTACTGCTATGAGGTGCATGTATGTAGTGTTGGGCATGCGATGAGCCGGCATGATCAATGATGGGTGTATGTACACTGGCATGACGAAGCAAACACCTCTCTTTCTGTACAAGTCGTCTGATGCTGAAATATAAGATGGAACATTACATCTACCTCGGTTACTGGAGCGTAACCTATACTGCTTGGATATTAGTGTTCTATCAATGACATAGGCAACAAAGACGTTTGAAAGAAAAACAAAGGCTCGTGTTGTTATATAACAGTCATCGCTGTAATATAATAGCCTAAAACAAACCTTGATCCAAGCAATATAGGTATACGGCTTCCAGATTACACAGACGGGCGGGGCAGGAGAGGAAGGGTGAAGCAGAAGCCTGACTAGTGCTCCGGTCCCTTACCTGTGGGACCAAATTTTTAAAGGATTCCATGATGGCGGAGGACTTGGCCTCTTGGCAATAGGAAAAGATGCCTGTCACAATGACGACCACAGACAGAACTATTCCCAAATATAACTGTGGAATAGACATCAGAAACATGTAATCGGGGACACCATTCAAATAAAAATGAAATCTACATACAAAGGCAATATGAGATGGGCCATTGGGTAAATAATAGAATGCAATAACGATGAGTGATGGCTAATAAGAATAAAGGAAGATAACCAAAAATGTGGGTTATATTTAGTTCTACCTTTGGAAAAATAATAAACATGAAATAATTGTTTAAGGATCACTACTTGAGTAGAGGTAGTATGTATACCCATACATGTAACTATGCTATTAACAAAGAAAACTGTTCTAACACAAAATTTAAAAGTAGAAGATAAGTATTATAAAATAAAAGAATACAACCAAGGAAAAGAACAACCAAGGGGCTAACTGAAGACAATTATAAAGAAACCGTAAAATTTTTACAACAAATCAAGATCTTTTCAAAACAGAAAAACCAACCTGTCAAGTTAGTTCAAAATAATAAGGAACTACTGTTTGGAAGAAAAGGAGGAAATATAAGACTTTGAACACAAAGTACTACAGCAAAACTCTATTAGCAATTGACGTACGAACTGTAGACAAGAACAAAAATCATAATTATTGAAAAATAGAAAGAACTATTAATAAATACTTTTACATCAAAAGAAATAATTCTTGGATATAATTTGACATGAGTGAAGTCAAAACAAATTAGGGAATGATGAGATAGTGGTCGGCAGGGAATAGGTCCTCTGGTGAAAAAAAGAAAAGGATATTAGTTTAGGATTAAGGGTAGGCTACAAGGTGTAGTTTATGAACAATGTACAAAATAATAATACAGTCAATAAACTGATAGACACTAGGGGACCAAATAAAACTTTATAAGTTTGGTTCTTTGAGACCAACCGAATTGTTCTCAGCAGTCTAAATATTCTATTACAGTATATTTAAAAGTGTTTTTTAAAGAAAACTGGATAGTCAAATAGGGTTTAATCGTGGATGTATGGACTTTGTCACATTAACAAACACAGTGACATTTAGTGTATTATTAGCAAGCAATACTTTTAGTTGGGAAATTGCTTAAGCGTAATAATCTGGATGTCACGTTCATCCGTAGCGTAAACACTACTTGTCTTGAAATTCAAGAACTTTAAAACTCTCTACTGTGTATATGATCATAATTAAATATAATCTTATAAAGATTTAACAATCATTCACTAAAATTAACAATTTTAAATTTCAAAATTTTGTAGGGTAATCAACATGTTTGTACAACTATGGTTTGGCACCTTGAAGGCTCTGAAGTCCATTTAATACTTTCTTTCCTACAAAAATATTTAAGGAACACAAAATAATAGTTCCCATATAAAAAAAAAATTACATTACAGTATTGTTGGTACTGAATTTTAAACATTCCTTCTTAATTGAAAGCTTAAGTATTTGAATTACTTTGAAGATACTTGAATTTCGATTTATGACGTCCAGCACGATCACATGAATTACCAGAAATACTCACATTGTCATCCGCAGGCTCTTCTACAGTGCTAGCCTGGATTGAATAAGCAATAAAACATAGGATAGCACCTATCCATAGTAGGAGGGCAAAACCACCAAACAACTGCTTGCAGAACTTTATCCATTCTGGCGTTGTTTTTGGAGGCGTTAATGCATTCGGACCATCTCTTTCTAAATTTTCTTTCGCTTTCGCATGCGTTAACCCCTGAAAAAGAACAATTACCCATTAGTTAACCTGAAGGACCATAAGTAATCATTTAATACCTCATTTTCCAAAATAAACTTATCACACACTTTTTAAATAAGTTCTATATTTCGGCACAAACCTTCTTCAAGAAGGCATATGCCGAAATAAGTTTATTTTGGAAAATGATTTAGCCGTTTGGCGGTATTATGAAGAAACATTTAATACCTCAGCAATTGACAGCATGCTACCAACCAACCAAACGTAAAAGGTGAAAGAGAAATGTTGGAACTGAGAGGTTGTAAAAATAAGATTATTTAAAGACCGCCGGTTAAAATTGAGAACCATGTACTATATATCTTTTTAAGGGAAGGAGTGAAAATGCTTTTACGCGTAGGTGGCCTGCCTGTAGTGTGAAACTCCCTCATTGATCAGACTAGAGACTACAGTACTCAGTAAAAACCCCTCTACTCTGTTGAACACAGATCTAGGGTTCTTTGTCATGTTAATTTTCCCAGGTTTGTCACATGGGACTTCAGTCCTTAGAACTCGCGCTGTTTCTGGCAAGTTTTATAAATATATTAATGTCAATAAAACAAATATTTTTGTAAAATTTATTTTTTTTTCAATTTTTGTATTGAGGGCCAAATGTACAGGGCATTTCATTACTAAAAGAGGTGAGGTTAGAGAATATTTGCTATTTTGTAAATTTCTAATAATTTTATATAACGGCTAGGATTCAAATCTGAGTTTTCATTTATATAAAACATGATTAGCCTAATACTGAATAACTTCTACAGGTAAACATGTTCACTAGGAAAATAAATACTAGAAATGCAAAAAATTATCGGAGTCAACATGTTTGATGTTTAAGACATTAATTTTAAAACAAATCCCTAAATAAAAATCCACAAATTGAAATTCCACTGATTCCATTACTCACTACTTATCAACTAAAGTAATCAAAGTGAGTGTATCAATGAGCAATGAATGAGTAGTGTTAAAATGGTTTTCTTATTAAGATGTTATCTGGATGAAGAGGAGGAGGGGGTATAATCGATTCTGCTGTTTCTCAGAAATACATGGGTAAAAATTAAGGTATAACCAATAGACAGATTATTAAGCCAGTTTTATTTTTATCAACAGCGCTAAATAGTGCTTCTGTTTGAAATTCATTATGTTATTCATTATGTTATATAATATTAGAGGAACAAATCTAAAAAATGTCTAGTTCCTGTAGAAAATACATTTCACATTAAAGGCAATGGCTAAACAAACAGTAGTTAATTACTGAAACAAGCATTTTTCAGCTTTTGTATGAACTTTTAATTTATGTATACACTTGGCTTTTTTGGACTACCTATTAAATTTGAACACTTTTTAATATTTATGTTAAGTTTGGGTATAAGATGTGAACATTCTACAACCTGTATCAATGGTGAGTAATTTCAAAAAAAATAGAAAAGTGGTGATGTCAACAGTGAAAAATAAGGGGTATAAAATGAAGGACATGGGTTTGAAGAAGTTTGTGTGAGAGGTTTAAAGAATAGTGAGGATATAAAAATGAAAAGCAAAGCAACTATCATTCTTATTTGAACCAATGGTTAGGTTAAATCCAAACAAAGCCAATGTGTTGGTTTAGTTGATATAAAGATATGCAATGAAACAGAAACGGTGTAAAATAGTATTGTTAACTGGAGCTGTTGGAATCATTTGTTTTAGTTCTAAAAGTATATTTATATTCAAAATCTTAAAAAAAGACCAGAACAGCAATAAAAAACCTTTTGTTGAGTTTGCTCAATAATTGTTTTTGTAAAAAAATAATTCCAAGTTGTCAACATATAGACCAATTTTTATTGTCTTAACGTAAATCAAAAGAAATAAGTGACAATGGAAATTTAAAATACAGTATCAAGAACTTACAAGTTTAGAAAAAAGCAACTAATCTAATAATAAATATTCTTCTTAAATATTACAAATATATCGTTACACAAGCAGCCTATTTGAAAATATCTAAATTTTAAAAGATGGATATGTAAGAATAATAAAACTTAATTTGCAGAATATCAAGGTGTATTTCAAGTTTTTCACTGCTTTCCTTTGCATGTTATGGCAGTTTGCTGTAAAAGTGACATTGTCCCGTATATTTTTAGTGTTTGGCAGCCACATTGCATTGTGTAAGCCCAATTCAACAGCCACAGTCGTGTGACCCATTTCTCCTTTACTTGCTGCTTGACAATGAATTAAGTTGTTTTTAGAATTTTACTCTGAGAAACAGTAACACTTTTACAAATATTAGTTATGTTTTGATCCAAGCCCAAATCCAACGTGGTGGTAGTTCATGAATTGGTTTGTCTGTATGGTTAGTTATATAAAAAAACTCTGAATCAAATCTTTGAACCTTTAAGCACAACTTCATTTATAATAAGCACGATACAATGTTCTTTAAAAACACAGAGGACATTATACAGATTGTTACAATCTTTCAGATATTTAAATTGAATTATAACATTCTAAACTGAAAAAACACTACCCTAATGTAGTCTAGACAAAAACTGTTACTAGTAATAATTCCCTAATAGGGAAAACTGCCTTACGTTCCTGCCAAAGAAAGTAATAGGTCAAAAGGTCTCTAAATGTCAATAAATTAGTAATTGGATTCTGATGTTCTGGATCTCAAAATAGTGATACAACTGAGTGACACAAAAATGGGTGAACAAAGAATGTTTTATCTTTATAAAACTGCATAGATTATAAATTTGTGGTATGTTCAGTTATTATACAGAGAAAAACACTTATTTCTACTTACTGTGTCCGGATGTGTACTAAACCTTTGATATAATTCTTCTACTGATATTTTATGAAAGTCAATATCCAATTCTTGTTTGAGGTCATCTAAGTCTCCTTTTTTCTGCTTTTTGGTCCGTTTTGACTGGAAATAAAATACAATCAGTTAGAAAAAGTATTTAAATGGTCATAAACAATCTTTATTATTATATATATTAAGTAATAAAACGCTACAAAGGTTTACCTAGAAAATGTGTTTTTTTATTACCTGCATATTTTGTTAACCTGAGGATAAAGATTAAATGTGTTCTTTTTAAATCACATACAATCCAAATTTTGTACTAGATAATATTGGCAAAGTACATTCAAAACATACTGAAAAACACCATAAATCTGACAGTCTCAAGTGGATCTCTCAGCTAAAGCCTTGTAATTGGTAAATGATTAATATGATAGTTGAAGAACACTTGCACTGTTGAAAGGTAATGTGGAGTTATATAACCACACAACATGATTGACAGGTCGTAGTCAGAGTATTCAGGTTGAAAGCGGAGAGCAGAGAGCAGGCTTGGCGAGTTGTTTATCAGTGTTGGTGTATACAGATATCACACCTGGCTGTAACCAGCTGACCTTCACATCTACATCTCATCTACTCTGGTTACACTAACACTACACTCAGCCACCCACCCGATCAGCTGATCATCATATCATCAACAACAATATAATACACGACAATGCAATGTATAGCAAATGTGCCAACAGTGATGTTAAATCTAAAAAATCACCATTACAACATTAAGTTACTTATTAGTGACAGCATTGAAAGTGTAGAAGAGAAAATACTCCTGTAAATAGGATAAAGAACAGTGAAAAGCAGATACAACAATTACAAGAATATAACATTTTCATCTGAACACGTAGATCTGAGTTGCACAAATTATACCACCAAGGGGTGCAATCCTGGAAAGCAGAAAAAGACCACCTACAGCATATGATGACAGAAGCTAGATGTGAGAAGCAGTGATGCGAATGAAGAAATAGAAGGTGAAAAAGTTATAATTAAACTGAAGGAAGAAATTAAAAAATGGAAGAAAAATATAATGATGAATTATGAAAGTAATAAAAACAAGGTGATTCATGTAGATAATAATTTTACCTAATAATCATTAAATTGACCTGAGAAAATTATGAACTGTGTTAAATGTTTTTTTTTGGATGGTAAAATAAATAATCATGTAACATTAATTCATTGTAAAAAGTTATTGGTAATGTATCATTTATTAAAAATGTGTTGAGTTCCAATTTGAGTTTAGTAGGTTCACAAGATCTTCCTGTTTTTGACAAGATTAGACTTACGTAGAATAAAAGTCCTCTTTTTGCAAAACAACTCAATTTGTGAAAAGTCAAATTGAAAGGGAATACAGAAGAGAAATGTTTAGTATGTGGGAATATAAAAAACATAAATCAAACTTGTTTGGTTAAAAAAATGAACAGATAGTATCATTTTAAGGGGAATAAAGAGTGATAACTAACTGAGTGTTTTAGCACTGATTTTAAACTCGTAGTGGACATTTTATGAAAGAACACTTCTGAGGCAAAGGAAGCTACCTTATAGGCCCAAAGGAAGAACACTCATTGACTGAAAAAATAATCGAGTACATTAGCTTAAACACTGCAAGCATGTCTACATCAAAGATGATTGTAATAAACTATTAACTTCCCTTTTGTAGAGAGCCTACTCAGGTGAACAAGCCACTCATATTTTATAGTTTGGTATATATAGTATATGGGACTTTAAATTATATTCCCCCCAAATAATAGTTTTCCTACTTTTGACAATCTTAAACAAATCTAAAATAAAACAAAGTTGAGTGGGCCTAAACTGTAAAACTTGCTTTAAATTTGTAAAAATAATCAGTAAAATTGTTTTATTTTTCTCCCTCTAAAAAACGTTGTGTTTTATGTCAGATTGCATGTTGCCCAAACAATACCTTAATAAGGCAGATTTTTTAAAAAAATTAGGAAGAAAACTAAAAAATGTAAGTAAAAGATAGGGTTCTTGACAGGCAAAATTAACAAAAAAAAAAACATGAAGAGGTTTACCCATACAGTAAAAACTCCAAACCAAGACTCAAATAAGTCAATTTAAAATTGTTGACTGTATATCAATGAAGATTTATTTTGGTCTGTGTCATAAAAGAATACAACTCTGGGTTGTTCACATCATAGGCACAAAGTTATTATATAAACGGGGTATTGTGTTTTAAGAGTCTTGGTTTGAGATTTCACTATACCACATAACAATTGACAATATACCACTTGACTCAGTGATCAGATCATACTGCGATTGTGCTGCAAGCAACATAAATGGCAATTAAATTACATTATTGGTTAGTAATTACATCTCAATAATAATAGCACAAGAGAAGTAACTGCCACCAGAAGAAGCCACAAGTATTGCTACATCCATAAATTATTGGTTAAGTAATGTTACAATAGAACCAGACGTACCAACAAATCAAATGTTGTAATATAATTAATCAATAGACAATAATTAACCATAAAAATATTATAAGGTATGCTAAATATGAAGGTCAGTGTATTATTTCAAAAATACTTTCTCCTCCCAAAATAATTGTTAAAAACTGCATTTTTTGTAATATACGTTATAGACTGGGCGTGGTACGTCTAGTTATATTGGAGTACGTGAGAGATGAGAGAGCAAGAGAGAGAGAGACAGAGTGAAGTGAGAGAACAGCCGTCACCGCAGTGTAGTAGGCCTACTGTAGTTGTATACCTTGAGTTTGCCATCAGCTGTTTTGTTGTCATCTGGAACAGAACGCACCGTAGCCACACGGTACGAGTCGGATCGTCCCTGAAACACCAACACTTAGCTATTCAGCGACACACAACACAAGCGACAGTACTCTAGCTCGACACTTACGTTACACTTACACAAACTATAGTATCCTAGATCTAAAAATAAAAATAATCATTACTGTATTAAAAAACTCATTTTTACACCTAATTTCCTTATCATACTCTTAATTAAAGCACAAAGATACGTTGCTCCTTTTTACCAATTTATCATACATTTATTCTTGTTTTCCTTATTGCCAATTACGAAACGAGCTAATCTATGTTCTTCTGATCGACCGTTTCTTCCAACATTCAAATGATGCATTGAAATTGTATCTTAGATCAATTTAACAAGTTTTGAAATAAGAATATTTTATGTAAACAAGAATAGTAAATCGATGTTCAGTGAATGCTGAACCATGACGGCCAGTCTCTATTGGTTAGGTAAACTGTAATACCGAGTGACGTGCAGTGCCAATCACTCACCCTATCTATCACTTCATGGGATTCTATTTTTGTGAGCAGAGGGGGTCATTTTACACGGCCAGACGTCCGTCAACACAAATACAGAACTAGTCATTAGGCGGTACGCGGTACAGTACAGTGATTGCGCAACTCGGCGATTGATTGGGCGTTCGCCAACCACAATTTGTTGGCATATTGATACCAAACTGCAGTATATTTAAATCAGATACCTTAAAGGTATTTTTAATTAGTAGAGTTAATTGTAAACTTAATTCGTCGACGTTCCGTTGCAACATGACAAAATTCTCTTCCCACTCAGTAGTAAATGTCTGTATACTGTACTAACAAAATTCCGCGTAAAAAGCAGCATTGCACGATACGTAGCTTACTTTTTTAGAAATGAGGACGACTTTCTTTGTTGATTGGCAGCTTGAGTTCATCAAGTGCACTACGTATTGGCGAAAATCTTGTAGCCTAATCTTGAAAACATATTTAGCATACAAAACCCCTTGTAACTTTACTGTCCCATTACGAAACTTAAACTAACAAAAAAGCCAATTATCAAGAAAGGATCTAATAAAATGTGATTCAATATTACAGTGTAAGATATGACGTCAGAGAAAGAGTGATTTAAATAGTGTATAACTCTGCTAAAATCGTACTCGACTGGAAACACCAGTCATCAGGGATGAGATTATTATTTTAATGATTACAGTGGCGACGTCAGACGCGACATTAGCGTTACTATACTTACAAGTTTTGGTTATGATCTCTGATTTAACAAATATCTTTGATTTTATCCACCCAATGAATGAATGTGAGTGCTATGACTGGGGACGGTTGCCAGAGTAGCCTATTGTTGAAATCAAACAAACACGCAGCTACAAAGCTTGTATTTGAGCAATGTTTTGATCAGCAGAACTGGCAATATTTCGATCACGAAACATAAACCTATTTTCATGTTTTAACACTATTCGTGCGGTCGACATGTTTGAACATAAAAGTTGCATTTATTTCAATGTTAAGCAATTGCGGGAATTCCCGTCATCAGCACCCAACGTGTTAATATAGCAATTTCTTTGTGTTATAACTACAAAGTTGAACCTTTATTATACAGGGCTACATACATACATACATTGGGAAGTTTATTAAAACACGAGGCGAAGAAGAAAAGTATTAAAGTATTAAGAAGGAATTTCTATGTTGCGGTCACGCGATGTTTCGGAGTCAGCGTCAGCGATTATAGCCTATCATATTATTTTAATGTACCTTGTTAGTAATCTTTTATCTGAAACTTTTGAAGACAAGTGGCAAAACACACTATTACAAATACATTACACAGTTTTTATTTTTTGCACAATAGATTGCCAAGAGTATTTAAAATTAGCGCGGAGTGATCGATCATGGAGTTCTCCAGGGATGCATTTCGGGACCTCTATTGTTTCAAGATTATAATGAACGGATGATGATGGCGATGTCCTGATTTTTATTATGATTCCATCCTCTCGTCATCTAATAAAGATCTTCCGTAGATCAACGAAGGTATGAAACGCAGACTACAAAAGGCTTCTAACTGGTTAGCGGCAAACTGTTTTTAAATAAACCGTGAAACCCCCAAGGATTGTTTGTAGCTTAGCTTAGCTCAAATTCCTCCCGTAAACAAAAATCCAGTGAAGCTTTTGGGGGCTGGGTTTCATAAAAGGTTCAGTTTGGACCAGCACATCGACCAGATAACAAACCGACTCCCACGTACTGTATCTCCTTCCTGCTGCTGAAGTTGAGGTCGTTTGTGACAGTGACCTATGGTCCTATTTTGTGACTTCTTCATGTTTGGGACCCATGGCACTGTTCATTCCTTCAATACCAAGAAATGGAACTAGATGTTTCCCGAGTTCGACTCTCCAGAAACAGCTATCTACAAATACAGGGACTTGAACTTTGTAACAAAATGCCAATGGTCACCAGAGGCTGAAAAAAGGTTCAGAGACAGGCTGATACAGTATGTATGAACATACGATTGTCAAACCGCAGTTTCAGGGCTATTCAATGGAATTAAAATTATATTAATACCCCCGCCGCAGCAAACCTGCAGACTAAGCGAATTTCCATTTCCCTGAATGGATTTACACTAAAATGTCTCCTTAAAAATATCACATTTATTCCCTATTTAAATAGAATCAGTTTAAAACATACTTAGGTTTGCTGCAACAGGGAGGGAAAAAGTGTTTTTTATGTAAAATGTTAATAGTTAGTAAGAAATAAAAACATTTTCCAAATTTGGGCAAAATATGTTTATAAACAAGCAAACTACAACAGTTTACTTATTCTCCATAAGAATAACATGGGAATTTTAAATTTACAATTTTTTGGAATTTTCTCCGTAACCATTAGGCGCATTATAACGCTTCAATATACTAAATTATTTGTTTTTTTTAAGCTCTACAAAATAGTTTCGAAAGAAATTGCAAAATTTTATGTTTTTTGGGTCAAAAATGGGAAAAACCCATTTTTACCCCATAAAAGCCCCCAATAACCCCCGTTCCCATGGTCCGATCATGCTGGTTCGCGAACTCGTTCGAATAAACGTAGGTTTACACGTTTGTACCAAATTTCATCAAAATCGGATCATTTTTGCTCGAGTTATCGCGCTAACGGACACACATATATACTGTATATATATATATACAGGATATATATATATATATATATGAATTTGAACGGATGGTGTTTTTGACCTCTAGGGACCTCAAAACGAAAAAAAAATCGGTCCCAGGTCCAGGTCTTACCATGAGTCCTATCTGGGGGTAATAGCTTATTCCCTATATGGGAAATTCGCTAAAACTAGCTCTATTTAACCGGGTCGACAGGGATTATGAACTCGTTTCAGATTGTTCAAATTGTCGATTTATTTATGTAAAGTATCTGCTTAATTTCATAAAGATGGGACAGGTTCAGGGGACTCTAAAACAGAAAAAAAGAGTTTTCAGCCCGGTATCAAAAGAGAAATCTATAATACCTCCATAGAGTAATCTGCTTACAAAAGGATCGCGTAACGCAATGTAAACCTTTGCCTCGACAATTGCCAAATTACCTGAACACTCCACTTGGGTAATTGCTGCGACAATACGGTATTGTTTTCGTTCGCATAATTTCAGGCCGATGACAGAGTAGGACGGCAAAATCGTGAAAGGCAAGGAACCCACTTAACTTGCCTCATAAGATTTTTCACAGACTGAACTGGATTTGAGCAATGTTATAGTGTTGGGATAGGCCACACAAGTGTAAAAAACGCCCACGAACGCGTTCGCGTACCTAGTAAAGTTTACGAGGTAAGTTGCGGTGCAAGTAAAATCGTCTATTACACAACACAACGAGTAGGTTTTGTTTTGTAATTACGTTACCCATGTGACACAAGATAAGCTTTATCTATAACTACCGAAGCCGAAGCGAGGACTGGTAAACAATGAATTATTCATGATTTAAAAGAAAACAGAGAACACATAGTTAACCGACACCAATGCCACATCCTGGTTAATAGATAACAGAGTCCACGGAATGTATGACTACTAGCTGACTAGTCGTTGATATTGCACATACTTGAACACTACACACTGGCGTATTTACAGTGCAGCTCGCCTCAGCATAGCGTTCACCTGATAACAGAGTCCAGCGAATGTATGATTCCTCGAACACAGGCAAAGATATGTTTTAAGAAGAGTCCAGTTGAATAGGATATGAGGGTATACTTTCGTCGTATTTACGTGATGTTTTATGAGTTGTTCAGCGCATTGGTCAATCACAGCTCAATATAACGGTCGCTGAGTGTGGTCACGCCCACTTATCAGCTGCCAGGGAGCTGCTAGGCCGCGGGTCGTTTGGCACACTCCTCTAGCTTGGCCACTTGGCCGACAACCGACATCGACAAATTATCCTATACTATAGAAACAGTAATTTACTATGACTGTTGCAACTGCAATCGTGACATAGGCTGGGGTTGTTTGTTATTTGGATCTAAACTTATTTTACCTTCCAACGAAGACACATAGTTTTTTTACAATCGGAAATTGCACATAAACTACGCTTATAGACTTTTAATTATACTGCCCCTTTATACGGTACTGTATATTAAAAGGGTTTACTGCATTCCTGTTGGTTCATCCAATTGTGTATTTAGTAAAATGGTGGTGTTTTACCATATCCAAAGACAATTAATTGATCATTTGTTTCGGTTTATATACTAAGAGTATATAACTGTATAACTATTATAATATACTATAACTTGTTTAATATACTAGGTTGATCGATTACTTTTTAAAATGCAGTCCATTCATAATATATACATGCCTATCATAGTTGTTGTTGTTTTTTATGAGAATAAAGATCAAAACCCCTTCATTGGCCTTTATGAATAAAAAAAATCACTGGTTCTCTTTACACAAACCACTCAATCGTAAATTAATTGTTTGCGAGAGTTGCAAGAGCACGAAGAAGGTTCGAAAGTGTCGAGTAACATTATCGTGAATTAACAAAGAAAAGGATTAAGGGAGAATT